TCCTCACCTCTCAGCTCCTTCCTGATCCTCAGCTCCTTCCTCATCCTCAGCTCCTTCCTCATCCTCAGCTCCTTCCTCATCCTCAGCTCCTTCCTCAGCTCCTTCCTCAGCTCCTTCCTCACCCCTCATCTCCTTCCTCATCCTCAGCTCCTTTCTCATCCTCAGCTCCTTCCTCATCCTCAGCTCCTTCCTCATCCTCATCTCCTTCCTCAGCTCCTTCCTCATCCTCATCTCCTTCCTCACCCCTCAGCTCCTTCCTCAGCTCCTTCCTCATCCTCAGCTCCTTCCTCAGCTCCTTCCTCACCCCTCAGCTCCTTCCTCACCCCTCAGCACCCCAAAGGAGCAGCTGCATCCCAAAACCCACCCTCAAGTAAAGCTTTTTTGTCTAAGGTTCTTCAGAAAAGTACCTACAAATACAACAAATCTTGGTTTGAACAGAAATGCAACCCTGAGCTGCTTCCTCCTCCTCAGAAAAGGCAGAATCAACATCTCCTGCTTGACCCAAATGCAGAGGGCTCAGCATTTCATTTGGCAACAAATGCAACTCAGTCAATGTGTACATTTTCCCTGGTTATCAAGAACTGAGAATAAATCAATGTCCTCTTTGCCTGCATTTGTAAACCTAAGGCTCCAGGACTGTTAAGACTCTGTTTGTACCCCAGCAAGGGCAATCCTAAATCAGAACAGCCTGAATTGCCTCCCACTTTTATCCAACAGGGCATGACTGGAATGGTGAGGCTGCTGCAGTCACTTCTGTCTTTTCTCCCCTGTGACAAACACATTCCCTGTGCCCCCACACCACCAATGCAGTGCTGGCTTTTTACAGGTTTTTTAATTGGGCTGACATTCCCAATACCAGCACCAACTTAAATCAGTGCAAACCTGAGGCCAGGGCTCTCACACCCCCTATTGCTGGGAGTCCTGGATTCTGTATTCATCTAAACCACAGTGTTCTGCTGAAAAAAACCATCCAGGAGACTGGGAGTTAGGCTGGACTTCATAGAGTATAAAAACCTGAGCTGGAACCCAGGATGGTTTCCTGATGCAAAATGAGCTGGTGTTGGGTGGAACAGACCCAAACTGCAATTCCTGGTGTTCCAGAGCAGGAAACATCTCAGGGAGAGGCCAAGGCAGTGGGAGAAGGCAGAAGTGAGGGCAGTGCTGAAGGACACCCCTGCTGGCAGTGACACTGGGTACAGATAAATGCCAATAAATCACACAGCACTCAGGTGTCACCCCTGTCCCCAGGGCTGGGAACAACAGGGACACCTGGCCAGGGAGATTTGGTTCCTGAGGGAGCCGGGCAGGTGCTGGGGCTCAGCTCTGAGCAGGACTAATCTGCAGCCAGGATCTCCTGGCTGAAAATAAATATCCATCCTGGGCACGCCAGGGCTTGGACTGGGAGTGTCTTTGGGACAGCTTTTAAAATGAAATTAAACTAAAATTAAACTACATGTGCCATCACCAGAGGGGCTTTAAGGTCCCTTCCAACCAAACCACCCTGGGATTCTGTGATCACACCAACACCCACCTGTCTGCAAGGAAGAAAAGTAAGTTTTATGTACAACTCTACTAATTCTTTCTATTAAAAGAACACAAGAGGAACAGATATTTAGCAAAAAGTCCCACAGCCCTGGAGGGGCAGAACCGAGGAAGTCTGCTGTAAGTGGAGATGCCATACAAATGACTGGGATCAGGCTGCACAATTCTTAAGGTATTTTTAGGCTGATAAAAGGTGCAAGTGACAGAATTTGTTATCCCAGGTGTGAGCACTGAGGTCAGGGCAAACAGACAGAGCAGATCAAGAGAGGGGTTAACAAAAAGCAGGAAAACCCCTTTGTGTCAGATCAATGGATGCTCTGAGCACTGTGCCTGGTGAGGGGATGAGAGCTGCAAGGGCAGTGCTGGGATGAGGCTGCTCAGGATCCCAGGACAGGAGCTGAGCCTGAAAGAAATGCACAGGAGGGATTCAGCACCAGCTGCACCTTCCAGCCTGCACTGCCTGCTGGGGGAGGTGTTTTTACTGTAACCACCTCTCTGCCGATTAACAGGGGAGAGGGAAAAATCCTCAGCACAGAAAGCTGGAAAGCTTTTCAGGAACATCTGAGGAATTTCTGTCTGGTCTCCCTTGCGTCCTGAAAATCCTCTAAACTGCACATATAGAAAACATTCGTTGCATTTATTGCTTTGTTTGCTCCCAGGAGAGGATAAACCCAGAGATTAAAAGAGTAAAAACTACAAAGAGCAGAAAATAACTTTTCAAATTCTACGATACTGATGCCTGTGAGAGCTCTGCCAGCTCAGTTATCTCTGCATCAGCTCACCCAGACCTGTGATTGTGAGGACAACAAACAAGCTTTCATAATAAAGATTTCAAGAGCAAAATTTTAAACCAAATGCTAAAAAACCCTTGGCAATCTGAATAAACCATCTGCAAAGCACAACCCAGCCAGAACACTGGGAGCACTCCCATCTCAGTGACCTTTCCATCACTGATGCTCAGCCCCTCTGGGGAAAACATGTCAATCCACTTCAGATGAGGTTTTAAATGTTCTGTCTGATTTAAAGATCCCACAGAGCTGTGCTTTCAAACAGCTGTCCCTTGAGCTGGACAGAATTCACCAGCCAAACCAAACTGGGGCTCCCAGTTGCCCAAAACATGAACCTTCTTGCTGATTTGTCTTGTAAACTAAACCTTGGTGTCAGGAAAGGTGCTGGCAAATCCCATCACCCCAAAAAAAATGGGAAATGGAAAGTGTCAGCAAATACCATCACCCCCAAAAAACTGGGAAATGGAAAGTGTCAGCAAATACCATCACCCAAAAAAACTGGGACATGAAAAGTACCAGCAAACCCCTAAAACTGTGACATGGAAGGTTTCATCAAACGCCACAAAACCTGGCACATGAAAGACGTCAGCAAACTCCCGAAGATCTGTGACATGAAAGGTGATGGCAAGCTCCTTCACCCCGAGAACTCTGACATGAAAGGTGTGCACAAATGAATCATTTTTGGTTATTTTCTGCTCCACATTTGCTGTCAGCACCTCTTTACTCCTGCCATGTTTCAGTTCCCAAGACAACTGATGGCTCTCTCATGTTTGGGTACAAAATCAAGCCCAGGTGCCCACGGAACACGAGGGTCTGACCTGGGCCCAAGGGAGCATCCCCAGGTGTCCTGTGCAGCCTTGGCTCGAGCCAGGATCACCACAGGGCAGCCAGGGGCTGCCACCTGCCTGCCAGGAGCTGACAGCTCTGCTCAGGCTCCAAGGAGCCAGGGCTACCTGAGTTCATTAAAACCTGTCCCTGGAGCCAGCTGTGAGGAACCAGGGAACACCGAGAGGATGGAAAGGGAAGGATCTCCCCATCCTCAACAGCCCATCCCTGGCAGTGTCCCGGGCCAGGCTGGAGGGGGCTTGGAGCAGCCTGGGGCTGGGGAAGGTGTCCTTGCCCATGCAGGGGTGGCATGGATGGGCTCTGAGGTCCCTCCAGCCCAGCCCCAGCCCATCCTGGGATCCTGAGTTCAGTGAAAAGTTGAGACATGCTGGCAGAACACAGAGGAGAGTTTGTACTGCCCAAATGCTCCCCAAACATGAGACTGGGACCTGAAGCATCTAGAGAGATCAGTGGAGAAAGCAGAACTCCCATTAGGGCCAGCAGTGCTCAGCCCAATGGCTGGGGGGCCATGGCCAGAGCGCAGTGAGAGCCGCCAGAGTGACCATGGGGTGTCACTCACACACCACAAACCCAGAGAGAACAAACCCAGGGCTGTGAGAGCTCTGTCCCTCGGGGCTGCCCTGCCCCGCTCAGAGAGCTCAGCTCACCCCAAGATTTTGGGGCTCCACCTGAGGTGCTCACTCCCTGCACACCTGAGCCGTACCCTCCCCTCCCTCGACAACGTGACACTTTCCATTTTACATCAGCCCTCCCAGCTGGCTCCAAAAGGATGCAAAAATTCTCTTGCAAATCTTTTGTCTTTATCCCCTGACACATTTTCTCTCCTCTCGTTAATGCGGGCGGCAGACAAAGCACAAACACCGTGGTCGCATCCAAAATCTGGGGAAAAAGCAGGTTTATTGCTGGCTGGGGCTGGCAGGGGGGACACAGAGATGTTGTTCCAGGCGGGAGAACAAAGATTAACTACTCTTCTCACAGATTTAAAATCCGGGAAGAGTGACCTCATACACCACAGCACCATTGAAACAACAAACCCCACAAAACACAACAAGCTGCTATTGACCCTTGGAATGGGAACGGCTCCATTCAAACGGGGGGTTTGGGAAAGAGCTTCCAGAAAGTGACAGGGAAATTCCACTTTGAATTTCAGCACCGGGAACAGCTTAACTCCATAAATCATTGCACCCATCGCTCTTGTGCTCCCCTCACACAGAGCGCCAGAAGCTTACGGGAAAAGCACAACCCGCAGATTTTGTTGGCAGGGGCTGAAAGGGTTTAAATTTGCTATCACCCTGCTCTCACAATGCAGCTCGTGATCTGGGGTACCTCTGCTCTGCTCGGGGGAGGTGTGGCAGGAGGGGACCCGGGGGACACCGGCGGGGACCCCTGTGGACGCCACGGATCTGAAAATGCATCGCTCAAGTTTAGGATCCTGACAACCCATTAACAGCTGCTGCTGCACCAGACGCTGAGCAACCAGCCAGACAATTAATTTTCCCCTTTTCCCCTCCGTTTCTATGCGTACAGAGCCATCCTTTGTTCTGCCTGCCGAGCGCGGCGGTGCCGGGCTCCCAGGTGCGCTCTAAAGTCACTGAGCGCTCCCAGCTCCCTGCCCGGAGAGGTAAAAATTACTGACATACCATCACGTGGCAGATCTCCTTGCTTGGGAGACGGGGAGCTCTGCACATTGCTGACCTCGATTTCTTTCCTCTCCACAGGAGCCGTTTTGCCGGGCTCCGGCTCGGCGCCTTTGCCTTTGGGANCACAAGAGCAGGACCATGGAGATCCCATTCTGGCAGACACTGACCCCTCACTGGAGCTGTGTTACAACCCAGAGCTCAGAGCCAGTTCCAAGTAGTGCCACTGTTCCTTCTGGCCATTGTCACACCGGCTGGGGACAGGGAACACACCCAGGCTGTTCCCTGAGGGCCAGGAGAGCAGCACCCCCTCCTTGTGTCCTCTGCAAAGCCAGAACCCAAACCAGCCCCAGCACTGCCCTCCAACCCAACAAATCCTTCACTGAGGAGCAGTTTCCCCACGTTTTCTCTCCAAATTCCCTGAACTCCCACAGCAGCAAGCAGCAGCTTCCCTACAAATCCCTTCCAAGCCCTCCTTCCCCAGGGTGCAGCTGCACAACCCTCCTGCCCTGGGCTGGATCCTGCCAGGATCCTGTGCCAAGAGCCCAGCATGAATTCCTGCAGCATCTCCCCTGTCATCTGGGGATTCAAATCCAGCCTTATCCGTGTTGGACGCTGCTTTTTATAACCCTGAACAGATTGTGACAAGGCCAGGCTAAGGATTCCAGCAGTAAACAGCCTGTTCTCCACATCTTTTGGAAATTGCAGTTTCTGTTCCCTGCTTTCCTGCCTGTCAGACTTGACAGGAGTGTCTCAGGGGATGCCTCAGTCCTGGTACGAGGCAGGAAAATAAAATCACCCCGTGCCTCCCTCCCACCAGAGTATGGGGTGTTGTTTTTGTGTTCTGGCTCCAGGGTAAGCTCAGGATAAGCTTTTTTCCCCCTGAATTGGTTTAACCCCTTCCTGCCCATCTGGCCTTCCAGTTTTACAGCACTGGCTGAGCATCCTGGGCACATAAGAGGGTTGTGAAGGAAAACCAGCAAAATATAGATGTTGAACACCTGCTTTAATGCAAAATCCTTGGGAATTGTGTCTGTTCACCGGGAAAACCTGTTTTTATTGCAGCTGATCTGTATTGGCTTCTCTCTGATTCCTGCCCTGCATTTCAATAATCCTTTCTCTCCTCCTGGTTTCACCTGTCAGGTCCATGCACAGCAATGCCAGCAGCAGCAGTTGTCAGCAGTTCCCTCTCCTGAAACACAACTCCAGCCCATTCCCTTCTCTCTGCTCCCACAACTGCTTCGTTTGGAGTCCTACCAGTCTCAAATATCGCCCACATCAAGGTGACTTCCAGTGGTAAAAGCTGCTGTCATGAATTATTTCAGCTAATTCAGCACCAACATTAAACCTCTGCCTGATGAGGGGCTGCAGCACCCGTGACAAGAATTCCCAGCATCAGGGAGTGCTCCTCAAATCCTGCAACACCCAGGGGGTCAGGATCTGAACTCCAGCAGCCCCCACATTTCTGAACCAGTGACAGCATGAATTTCAGGTTATTTCATGTTGCTTACTAGAAGGTGAATAAAAACCAGGACAGGACACAGGGAATGGCTTCCCACTGCCACAGGGTAAGGTCAAATGGGATATGGGGAAGGAATTGCTCCCTGGGAGGGTGGGGAGGCCCCAGAACAGAATCCCCAGAGCAGCTGAGGCTGCCCCTGCATCCCTGAAGTGTCCAGGGCCAGGCTGGACAGGGCTGGGAGCACCTGGGACAGTGGGAGGTGTCCCTGCCATGGCAGGGCTGGCACTGGATGGGCTTTGAGGTCCCTCCAACCTAAACCATTCCATGATATTATTATTATTATTATTATTATTATTATTATTATTATTATTATTATTATTATTATTATTATTATTATTATTATTCAGGAAACTGAGTAGAGACCTCCCCTATTTGAGGGGCCACAACTCAGGCTCCATCTCTCAGAGACTCTGACATTCCAGGACACACAACCCTGCCCCATCCCCCAGGGACTACAGAAGGAGAGCTTTGGGGTTTCATATTCATTTGTCCTGCGCTCATCAGGACATTTCTCTCATTCATGGTTTAATTACGAGGCTGTTCTCAGAGCAGAGAACTGGCACCATTTCCTAGTTACAGGGAATATTAGGCAAAGCTGCCAAGCCTTAATCAAATTTGTTCATTAGGCCGCAAGAATTATTTAGGAGACTTTTCAGTTTGCCTGCGTCCCCAGGCAGAGGAGAAGGCCTGGAAGAGGTTTGAAAGGCATTGGGTTGGAGCTGCTGTGCCCTGAGCTGAGTCAGCAGCACCAGGGCAGCGCTGCCAGGGCCAGGGGCTTCAAGGAGCAGGGCAGGACATTGCCATCTGCCATGCCCACGATCCCTGCGGGCACAGCCAGCAGCAGCTCCTCCCCACACTGCTGCCAGTGTGCTGCTGCCAGCGCCTCCATCCCGTCCCTGTCCTCACCTCCTGCTCCTCATGGGGAAAACCACAATTCTTGGCATGCCCCAACANCGCCACCGTCAGCGAGCGCTTCATCGGCGAGCTCGGCTTGGCGGCCGTGGGGCTGCGGCTCTGGGTCAGGCTGCTATTAGGAGAGAGCAGCCCAGTGGCGACGTCTTCTCTAAGCACCGGCTCAGGGTATTTATCGGCCAGGTTAAGGGTTAGGGGCACCGACAAGTGAGAGCACTCTGACATCGCACGCCTCATCGCCTTCCTCTGGTGGGCAGCCCTGGCCAGCAAACTGCCCTCAGAGCCCAGCTGCTCCTCCATCTCCTCCTCCAGCTCGGGGCTCTCGCTCAGGTCGCTGCTTTTGGACTCGTCCTGGGCCAGCTCCACGGTGGTGGTCGGAGGGGCGGCTTTGGCCGCGGCAGCGGGGGAACAGAGCCCGCTCTGCCCGGAGCTGTCGTGAAGCACCCCCAGGACACAATAGCCGGGGGCTCCATCTTTTTTCACGGCCGCTTCTTTGGACCCCGAGTCGTTCGGCAGGATGGGCTGGAAATTGGGGTTCCAGACGCTGATTTCCTGCTCCTTCATGTATTTGCCGGCATCGCTCTCCGGCACGGAGAGATGGGGCAGCTTCGGCTCCGGCTGGCACTTGCTCTCCATCCCAGCCTTACCCACGGCTTTCTCCTGGTCGGTGATGGCTTCATTTTTACCCAGCCCGGGAGCGGCTTTTTCGGCTGCCGCCTGTCCCACGCGGAAATCGGTGGCTTTCGGGTTCCCGAAGTTGCCTTCAGCAGAAGGAAAGGTTTCCGAAATCAGGGACCAGCTCTCAAGGTGACCTGCAGCCGCCTGGTATTTCTTGCCGGGCACCTCAAATTCTCTTTTGTCTTTCTGAGCTATTTTTAGCTCTTTGTCTAGTTTTCCCTCGAAGAAGCAGAGCTTGTCCTCATCCGTGAAACCGGCGTTCTTAACGAGCCCGTCCTTAATCGGTCCCCCCGAGTTCACGTTCAAGCCAATCTCGTTAAGCTTCCCCTCGGTCCTCTGCCACTCGAATTCGGTTTTGCCGAAGTCTTTCGGGGACTCCATGCGGTGGAAGGCGGCCGGGAAGCTCTCGGGGCTCTTGCCCTTGCCCAGCGGGCTGTACTCGGGCTGCTGGTTGGAGAGGGACATCGCGGCGGCTCCGCGGCTCCGCTGCAGCGCTCGGCGCGCCGGGCTCGCTGCCGTGACGACACGGCGTGCCCCCGGCATTCGTGACAAACCCCGTCCTCCCCACCCCCTGCGCCGTCGCCTTCACTTACTGCAGGCAGCCACTAGTTCAAAAGAAACCGGCAGGTTGCATCCTTTTGTGGAGAATCCTCAGGAATTCACTTGGGGAAGGCGAGAGCCCGGCCCCGGGCTGAGGCTGCCGGGGCTTTATGGGCTCAGGGGAAGGGTTTTGCTGTCAGCAGCCTTTGGGGGGTCCCGACACGTTTGGGGGGATTTCAGGCTCTGCCTTTGCTCTGCCAGGCTGTGCTGTGATCGATGCTTTGATCGGCATCAGTTGCTGCTGATGAGCCATTCCAAGAACACGCAGGAGCCAAGGTCAGCGATTCCCCCCAAACCAAACCAAACCAAGGCACGGCCCCCCCAGCCCAGCCCCAGCAGCACAGCGCAGAATGAGCCCTTTCAGCACAAGGGCTTTGTTTTCTGTGAATTTTAATATATTCTTCTGGAGTCAACAGTGATCACAAGTCCTGCTGTAATGAGGGTTTCACAATTCACAAACCGGATCGCTCCCGTAAGCAAGAGGACAAAGCTGAAAAGGATGTGATGGGATGTGTTTGGAAAGGTCCTGGAGTCTCAAATACAGCAAGATTCATTTGCATTATACTTTTTGAACATGAACATATCTTACAATATTTTTAGCTAATTTAAAGATGCCCCATATCTGTGTTTTGAAACAGCCTCTCTGGGTGCACAGAATTTGCCAGGCAAGCCAGACACGTACCCCAGTTGACAAAAATACAAACTTCATTGCTTGTTGTCCTGGCTGCAGGTGGATTTTTCTGTCACCCTTCACCCACACCAGCACAGCACACTTTGTGCTGGTCCATCCCAGCCCAGCCCCAACACCTCTGATGTGCCCTCACCCACCCCTGTTCCAGCACCCCCATAGGGCTCCTTCAGCTGGGATCTGTGATTTGGACACCACTCCCCTGCTTAAACCGGGCTGCAGAGGCTGCATTAGCACCAAACTGCAGATTCAGCTTTTATTCTTAAGTGTCTGGTGCAGCTTAATCCTTGACTGAGGCAGATTTTGCTCTCTGAGCCAGGGTCACAGCACACGAACCATCCCGGATGTCACCGCACTCCACTCTGGGGAAAATGTCCTCAGAGCTCATGGAAAAGGCCTCCCCTGCTCGAATTGAACTGAAAGAAATGTATTTTTATACCCAGAGCCTGCAAGTTCCACTACGCCCCCTGAATTGAACCTGCTGTGAGAAATGCTACAATCCACACATTTATCTGCTTGTATTTAAGCCTGGGATTTAAGGCACTGCTATATTTAAAAACAATGACTAAGGAACTGTAAGTTATATGAATCTTTCCTGACAGCCTCTAATTAACCAGAATAGTTCCACCCACAACCTTCACTTCTCAAAGAGCCTCAACAATTTTTCTCTGCTTTAAAATATTCCGAGGTGTCTTGCTGTGGGAAACGGGCTCTCAGCTCACGGC